CACTTGGGATTCGGAGGATCTCTCGTGCTTCGCTTCTCTTCTCTCTATCCATGGCTGCTTTCACTTGTACCTCTCGTCCTCCGGTTTCTCTCCGTTCAGAGACGAAGATCGCTTCCTCACCATCGGCTTCTCTCAATGCTCGCCGGATGTTCGCCGTGTTACCGGAATCAGGAGGATTGAGAATCCGTCTTTCTCTCTCTCCGGCTTCGTTGACCTCGATTAATCCTAGGGTTTCTCCTCGTCTACGAAGAGCCGTCGTCTGCGAAGCTCAGGAAACTACTACTGACAGTATGTTCTCTCGCTTTTTGCTAGATTTTTGATTTGTTCGATTTCGTGGTTCTGGGCTTTGATTTGTGCTGATTCATGGATACTGATTGTGTTTTATGAACTGATTTCATGTTGTTGATTGGTTTGTGTGGCGGAAATTAGAATTAGGATGCTCGAATTTCGTGTTGTTCTACGCATTTTGCAATCTGCTAAAAACTTTGTAATTAGCTCCAAATTACTGTATCTGGGAGAAGAGTGTCTTTAGGAGAGAGCTTACGTTTGAGAACATTCTTGCTGAAAATGAGGTGTCTGTTAGGGGAGGAACAAATTCATGCCATTTGCGTGACAATTGAAGAAGGTTGCATATTAGGAGGATCTCTTCCTACAGTTGGATACATTTTCTTGCATTATAATAAGTATTTAGAACCTATAAGATTACGTTGAATACCTACTCAGATACTTTCTTGATTGGATCCACACACATTTGGGACAAGAAAGAGTCATTTGGTTCGTGAAAGAGCAATGTGGGATTTTGTGCTTTCAGAGTAAACCTGTCTTGATTCTGGGATCTATACCAGTAGATTGAGATTTTTGTTATCAGTAGTATTGTCTTTCCCATGATAATGTGTTTAGTGAAAACTGAGAACATGAAGCATTATCCTTCACTAGGACTGCTTGTGAATCACACAAACTTCATTCTATTTGCGGTTCATTCACGATTACTCTGAAGATGTGTGTTCATTAAGTACTCTGTAGCTCCATTATCGAAGTTATGTTAGAGATTTTTTCACTTCTAGATTGAGATTATATACATAGGTTTAATGCAGCATACCCATGTGACAAAAGATGGATGAATGGTTAAGTTGTCTCTCTGGTGTCACTTATGAAGCATTATCCATCTATCTTGACTATTTTATTCTGCATTCATTTATGACTCTAAAGGATAAGTTGATGATTTTGGTTATTGGTCATATCAGTTTCAGTAGTCAACGACTCGACATGGGAGTCTCTAGTTCTCAAGGCAGACGGGCCTGTACTGGTCGACTTTTGGGCACCATGGTGTGGACCTTGCAAAATGATTGACCCGCTCGTGAATGAACTAGCACGACAGTACGCCGGGAAGGTCAAGTTCTACAAACTAAACACCGATGAGTCTCCTTCAACACCAAGCCAGTACAATGTTAGAAGCATCCCAACGATCATGATCTTTATCAATGGCCAGAAGAAGGATGCAATCATAGGTGCAGTGCCCAAATCCACACTCACATCTAGCATCGACAAATTATTGCAATGAGTAACACTTGTGAGTCTCTAAGATCTCTCTCTCTCCTCGTTCTCTGTGTAACTGTGTTTTCTTCATAGCTATCCTCTTCTTCTACTGTATCTTTCTTCATCACTGAACATCTAGACATGGATAAATAATATGATGTCTTGTTTTTTATGTTAACTTTTGATCTTAAGATTGTTTGGTTCTGCAACCTTTTTGATGAACACACGCTAAGGTTTATTACATATACGCAAAGGAGATAAAAAGGTTATTATACATGTTCTAAAGAATGATAATTTAAAATTGAAAAAAAGGTCTTTATCGACCCACAAGCGAAAAGAGATTACGTTTGGGATATTTCTTTAATTTTTGTACAAGCAAAGGAATTCACCATTGTTTCTGTGTACTCAATTCAAGGATAATGATATGTCAACTATGGACAAAATGAATAAAAGGCGAAAAAAATTGTTATTTTTTGTAAGGATACATAGTTCCCGACAATGTTTGAGATTTTATCGAACCAAACCACATTATTTGTGCTGGATAATATATAGTATAGAGACTCTATTATAACCACTTGATTTGTTCATTAAATTTTAAATTTAGATTGGCCAAAAAAAAAAAATATATCAAATATTCCAAAAAACTGGTTGGACTAAGTTCAGAGTTCAGACCACGTATTGCTAGTTCGGTAAGATTAGACTCAGCCCAAGTGATCTAGACCATGATTTTCATTTTGACTTGGAGTCTTTTGGCGGAGTTGTAGAATGTAAACCAACCAAATGAAGTTGCTAAAGAATTGATATAAAATAGAGAGTCCGTATTACTTTTATTTTGGTATTTATGTTCAAAAACCAAAAATCCCAAAAGCCAACAAAATCTATTAGGAAACTAAATGGAAAATCGGATTCTTTTGTTTTTGCCGTCCTCGAGTTGTATTTGTAATGTTTATTGAAGCATAAGCTTATAAATATGTCGAGGTTTATATACTTAAGCCGAAGATAAGGTCAAAAGATGGGTACACGCCAACTTTCCAACTTCCGATTTTATAATATATTATCATTTGGACTTTATAAATGATTTTTTCGTGACCTTAGAAGTCACAACATACAAAAATGGAACAAAAGTAAGTATAATGATCTAAATCAGAACAAGTGTGAAATATTGAAACAAAGCAAAAGTCAATTCGGACAACTTCGTTAAAACCTAACCCCACTTTATGTTCTTAGTTTGATAAGGCATACTTATACGATCACTTTATTGATGTTTTAAAATTAGCAAGCAGACAATGTTTTAATTAATAATTTGATTTTGAGTGTCGGCCATATTCTCATACCAAACATTCTGCAGCTTGATTAGATAAATAATAAAACATTCAAATGGTACTTCAGATATAGTCGATAGGCTTATAACGTACCTATCTAAATATCATTGTTTTACTATCAAGTTACTAAATAAATATGTTTTTATCCAACAGGATTTATAATAATGTCGTTGTTGTGTCAAAAGATTTTAAATTTGCTAGAATGCATGTTATTGACCAAAAAATTTATTTATCCTTGTGAAACAAATAGTATACAACAATATTACAAAAACTATTAAAAGAAGTCCAAAAATAAAAATGGAAAACGATATCGATTATCTTCTCGTTGTCTCATTTGAGTGGAGTGAAATGTTTATAAATGGATTGCAAATAAATTTTCCAACGTAGCAACACGTAAAAGATAAAGATTCTTACATTTGTTTTACGGTGAAATAAAGAATATTGTGAATGATATTGATATGATACTATAATAGTTATGACACATCACTTTACGTGTTGAACGTTGAATAATTAACTACTTCTATATTTATTAATTTGGTACTAATCTACATAAATAATTTTATATGTGTATCATAAACGAGGCCAGGAAGGAAGAACTAAATCAAACCAATTACATCAATATATAATCTTTTTCTAAGATGTGATTGGCGGAACTGATCCACGCGTCAGGAGAATTAGTCCGACGAGGCAACTAATCCCCCCAAAATTGATAGTTTTTCTGTGCCTAATCTCAAGATTATAAAACTCAAGATTCGGTTCTTAATTAGTAATTAAAAAACAGCTCTGAATAAATAATATACTCGAGAAAAAAGGACCACAAAGCAAAGCAACGTGTCTCGTGAGGTTCTTCAATGAGATTCATCGTTAATGGTGAAGATTGCCAAGCGTGAGAAAAGCCATCTTCGACCTCTCATAAGTCATTTTCTATGTTCAGACCGTCCAATTAACGTTTTCCACTCTTTATTAATATAATAATTATACTAGTGTGGAGTAACTTACAAGCTAATAGATAGTACCAAACAAAATATATTTTAAATTGATAATCTCTTTTTCATTACCTATTGGTTAGTGGTTTACTTGAGGTTTTCTTAGTCCTTTAATATTGAAAACTAGTAAAAATCCACGCGTTGTGCGAAACAATTATTTTAAATGATTTTTAAAATTATTTTAATATATATATACTAACATTGATATACTTAAATGATGTTTAATATTTATGCTCACAATTTCTATTTATACAAATTCAAACATCATTTTCAAATGTTTAATATGAAAATGAACCATATAATGATATATATAAATATTTTCATTTAAATACTTGCTCTAGAATTTAGCGTATTCTTTTGGAATTTTTTCGTTATAGATAAACACGTGTAAAAATGTGTGAAATTATTGATCACATATTTGTTTTACAGAATTTGATTTTCATATTATCTAAATTTATATAGTTTCTACAATTTTTTAACAAAATGATAGTCTTTTTATATAAATTTATTTTTTATTCATATCTTTATGAGTATTTGCATAAAATACGCTATAGAAAAATCAACATCGTATGTGACATAAATTTTTTTTTAGTTTTTTCAAAACTATTTTTTTATCTATCAATAAATGAAGTTCATATTATTTTTTTAAAATTGCATTTTCTAATATTAATTGTGTAGAGAAAAAATTTAGTACAAAATTGTCAATGGTGTGTCAAGATGAGTTAAACTTAGCCTAAACTTACAAAATTTTTGTATCAATTATTGATATTTAATACCATACGTTACAAAATATTGATATACCAAACATGATTGGAAATTATATAATGACATTATGGCATGTCACCGATACAAAAAAAAATATCGGAACATCTTATATATC